GATCTCGGCTGGGGCGTAACCATCCTCAGAGGGAATTCCTCCTGCACTTACAGACTCTCCGGTAAGCGCAGTGTCTACAGTTGCTCCGTTTCTTGGATCACCGTACTGCTGGTAGGAGGCATCAGCCCAAGGTCACCGGTTTCCATGCAACTCTTCTTTTTTTGGTCTTTCTGGGCTTTGGTGTGAATCAAAAGAGCAGGAATCTTTTCTTTCCAGATCAAAACAGGTTCAGCTGAAGAAGGTTTATTAGGCATGCTAGGTAGCAGCGTAAGTTGGCTGCGTGAGTGGATTTCTAAAAGCTCGTCTTCTTCCTGGGAAGGAAAGCGTGATTTTTTTTTTTTTTTTTAGAAGTTTTAGTATCATTTACCTTTCAGCCTAATCTGGGTGTTAAATGACATAAAGTGGGAATTTACTACATGACCCCATTTGTTAGATATCCTTTAATAAAGCCTTTTTAGTGTAGGTGACTGATGCGCATGTAGAGCGGGTGGGAAGGAGCGTGCGTTAACACTGTTGACTTGGCTTATTGATAGTGAATTACAACGCTTCTCCGATGTCTAAATACATGCTTAGCAAACCCGGCTGTGGCAACTGGCTTGGCGCGTTAGCTCTGGCTGGGTGAGACTCCTGCGGCGGAGGCGGAGGGGACGCTGCGGTGAAAGGGGCCCTTTCAGCCCGGCGGGGTGTGCTTACCGTGCTGGGGGCGGTGGGAATGGGTGCAGTGCGAGCGGTGACTCAGCGTCAGACTCAGCCCCCCCCGCCCGGCACCGCAGGTGTGGGGTTGATCCAGGCGCCTCACGGGCTGGCTGTCGCACGCGGATGGCGGAGTCAGCTGAGCTGGCTTCTTGTGGAGCTCAGGTCGAGGGAAAGCCTCTCAGCAGCCCGGGGACAGACACCCCGAGCTGTCTGCCTCTCTTTTGGGGCCACCCTGCGTTGGGGCTGGTCCACAGCCAGGTAGCGCACACCGGCTGATCTCCCGCTGCAGGCGAGCTTTGCTCAGCGAGCTTCATCCAATGTGTGGAGGGGCTGCAGTGTTTCTAGAGCTGGGTTTTGGCTCTGCCTGAGGGCAGCTGTGTCTCCTGCTTGTGTCTCCAGGACCATCTTTGGCAGTCCCACATGTGCCATGGGTTACGTACCCTCTAAACATCAATCTGCCATTGGTAAACTGGCAATCGGATTATCTGCTGGAACGCAGCCATGAAACAATCCTAGGCCACCGATGCTGCACTGGCTTTCCCCAACAGCTGGCCTTTAACAATTGCTTCCAAAAGGTCAGGAAAGCCATCAGAAGCTCCAATTAGCTGTGACTAGCCTGGGGGACAGAGTGACACAGATGCTTTTTGAATAGGACGAAGGACTGAGCAAGGAGAAAACATTTTTCCCAGTCACTTCTCCTCTATTAATGCCACCTCATTGCCATCCGGCTGTGCTTTGCCCTTCTGCCGAAGTCCACCAAGCACCAAGAGCTGGGTTTCAGCTGGGTCAGTGTGCTGTGGAGAGTCAGGCCTCTTCTCTTCCCCCTCAGGGGTGGCCCGCCATCACAGCACCTTCCTTTGCGGGCAGGGAGCTCCACAGCGAAAGGTTTCCCAGTCCTCACATCTGCCTATCACCCATTCCTTCCACACCCACCCCTCTTCAGACCAGGCTCCCTTTTTCTACAGCCTTTGCCTTTGTCACCCATACACCAGTGCCTCCCAGGAAAGACAGCTTCCCTGCCCTCGGCGCCCTTCGTCCTCCCGCCTGGTGCCCGAGGGTGCCCTGCCACTGCCATCTCTGCCCTTCCCTGCCGCTCATTCTGAAACGGTTACTCTCTTCTTGGACCTGCTTCAAGTGCATTTGAAGAAGCCTTTGCTGACATATTTGCTGCAGTACAGCATGAATCATTTTGCTCCTCTCCTCTAGTTCTCGGCATTTCACAGATCTCTCTTCCCCCTTTTGCCGGTTCCTTTGCAGGACGTTCCTCAGATGTCTTCTGCGGGGGGAAGGAGCAGATGGAGGAACACTAGCAAAGCCAGCGACAAAGCTTTCAGGGAGAGAGGGGCCTGTGCCGACCGAGGCAGCACAAACTGGGAGGGCAGAGGAGAAGGGAGCAGCCTGGTGCAGGGGAAGGACACACGGCATTTCATCTGGGGAGCACTGTCTGGCTCAGGCCGCTCACAACGGAGGAGCTGTTGGGGATCAAAGCGCTGTTGAGCGGAGGGATGTTGTGGCACAAGGATGTTGTGGCAGTTGTCTTCCGTGCAGGGTGTAACCACGGGATCCTTTTGACTACTGTGGTGCAAGGCCACCTTTGCCCTGAGGCATCCTCTTGGTCTTTGTGGTGGGTTGACCCAGGCTGAACGCCAGGTGCCCACCAAAGCCACTCTATCACTCCCCTTCTCAGCTGGACAGGGGAGAGAAAATATAACGAAAGGCTTGTGGGTTGAGGTAAGGACAGGGAGATCACTCAGCAATTACTGTCACGGGCAAAACAGACTCAACTTGGGGAAATTAGTTTAATTTATTACTGATCAAATCAGAGTAGGATAATGAGAAATAAAAACAAATCTTAAAAATACCTTCCCCCCACCCCTCCCTTTTTCCCAGGCTTAACTTTACTCCCCAATTCTCTACCTCCTCCCCTCCAGTGCTGCAGGGGGACAGGGAATGGGGGTTCATCACACGTTGTTTCTGCTGCTCCTTCCTCCTCAGGGGAGGACTCCTCACACTCTTCCCCTGCTCTGGTGTGGGGTCCCTCCCACAGGAGACAGTCCTCCATGAACTTCTCCAAAGTGAGTCCTTCCCACGGGCTGCAGTTCTTCACAAACTGCCCCAGCATAGGTCCCTTCCATGGGGTGCAGTCCTTCAGGAACAGACTGCTCCAGCATGGGTCCCCCACGGGGTCACAAGTCCTGCCAGCAAACCTGATCCAGTGTGGGCTCCTCTCTCCACGGGTCCACAGGTCCTGCCAGGAGCCTGCTCCAGCATGGGCTTCCCACGGGGTTACAGCCTCCTTCGGGCATCCACCTGCTCCGGCGTGGGGTCCTCCACAGGCTGCAGGTGGATATCTGCTCCACCGCTAACCTCCATGGGCTGCAGGGGGACAGCCTGCCTCACCATGGTCTTCATCATGGGCTTCAGGGGAATCTCTGCTCCGGTGCCTGGAGCACCTCCTCCCCCTCCTTCTTCACTGAACTTGGTGTCTGCAGGGTTGTTTCTCTCACATATTCTCAACCCTCTTTTTAGCTGCAGTTCCACTGTTTTTTTTCCTCCTTCTTAAATACATTATCCCAGAGGCGCTACCGCCATTGCTGATGGGCTCAGCCTTGGCCAGCGGCGGGTCCATCTTGGAGCCGGCTGGCACTGGCTCTGTCAGACATGGGGGAAGCTTCTAGCAGCTTCTCACAGAAGCCACCCCTGTAGGCCCCCCGCTACCAAAACCTTGCCATACAAACCCAATACAGGCTTGCAGGAAGCTGTCCTCACCTCTGACATTGCCATCCATCCTTCTGCCTCGTGCTTCTTTTAGGTGTCCTGCAGTCTCTAACCGCCCAGCCCTGCGCTGCAGCCCTGTTATGTCCAGTTAGCCCCAGTAAGGATCAGCATGGGTCTGTACGCCCTGGGAGATGCTCACCAAGCCTGGGGACTCTTGCTGAACCCAGAACTCGAGAGGCAGACTCCTTCCTAGTGTCTTCTCTGCCTCTTTCAGACTGGTGGGGCTGGGAAGGGAACCATTAGGACTTCCAGGCAACAACCATACACGTGGGATCCTGATGGCTGAGAGCGCTGGTCCTGAGGTTGGGGTAGGAAACAGCAAATGGGAAACTTTGGTCTGGGAAAGCTCTGCAGAGCTAATAGGACTGGGCATCCTGCCTTCTGCTCCAGGCTGGTTCTTTTAGCTGATATCTGCTTAGACTCAGTGTGGTCTGAACAGGTCTGACCCATCTCATCAGTTAATGGATGTTTGGAAGGAGTTCAGCTGGTGAGTAATTGGGAAAAGCAGAAAAAAAACCCTGAATACACTTATAATGTATTCATCTGTAAAACATCTGTCTTTAAAGAGTCATAAGAACAGGGATACTGGATCAAACCGGGGATGGTCTGGCCCAGTATCCCATCTCTGACAGCAGCTAGAAGCAGATGCCTGGAGAAGAGTAGAAAAACAACGCAAGCATGTGTGTTTCTTTCCTCCAGCACTCTCCCTGCCTCCAGCTGTGTTCAGCTCACACTGAGCCAGATGTGGTTTCTGGGCACTGAATCATTCTCAAGGGGTTTCTCTTCCATGGACTTGTCCTGGAAGCTGCACAGACTCTCAGCATCCACAACATCCTGTGGCAAGGGATTCCCCAGTTCAACTGCAGACCATCGCTTTCCTTTGCTTTAAACCCAGCTTCTGCCAGCTTCACCTATTTCTTTT